TTTGCTTTTAGAATGCAATAACATCCTTGATGTTTCACATGGAAATACTGGATTGCTTAGAGTTCAAAATATATAATTTATTAACACAATCAAATGTTTGTCTTTATCGTTGCAACAACATTATCAAAATGATAAAAGATTTAAAATCATTGTATGCACTGAAGAAATATTACGAGATTGATATTTCTTTGAAAGATTATCATATGCGGAAGTCATTTGTGTTGCAAAACTATATCTCGAAATCACTTTCAAGTAAAATTTCTAATTTAATTTTTATAATTAAATACAATATACACACTTGTTAAAAATTTATAATTTATTTATGATAATTTAATAGATATTAAGGAAAACGATTGGTCATTAATGTATAAGACTGTTATTAAAATTGCCGAGTTGCTAGGATTAGAAAAATCATATGCCACTTTATCCATGTTAGAACAGATGAAAAACTTAACGGGTTTAAACGGATTGGAACATCTTGTTGTTGAGTAAATATTTCACATATTTTACTCTTATAATTTTATACCTACAAATATATATAAATTATTTATTTCTCCTATGTCTTTATAGTGATGATAACGATTTAAATATGACGTCCAAAAAATTCAAGAATATACGTAAGATATGCTTATCGATATTACAACATTCTTCTGTAGACACCAACGCTATAAAAATTGTCAAAAGTTTAAGTATATCGATATTAAATACTTGTCAAGACAGTATGTATCACAATTATATTGATGATTCAAATGACAAAAATTATCGCAAACTAATGTATATTTCAGGTGATTTACAGTCTGCACTAATGGTTTACATTTGTGTCAATGTATATCCAAATTTTCCTATTCAAGATTGTTTTGATTCAAAACAGAGACTCGTATCACAATCTAATTGGAAGTTATATACAATTTATAAGGATCAAGCAATATCTTTGGATGAAAAGTTGTTGTTCCTATTTAAAGATGCAATGTCTTTGCACTTATATTATTCAAATCAAATCAATATTAATGAAATTACAAATTGCGATGTATGTATTATAAATTATATATGTACGTCCCATTTATAAAAAATACTTTGTGGTATATCAATTTGTTTATATGTAGGAACAAATGGATCAACTGTTAACTAGTTTCTTGGAAAATATAAGAAAGATGCAACCTCAACACAATGATTATTCTTTACTGCAAATTTTCAAAACATTCTATTTCATATACTATAGCACGTCTGTAAGAAATGAAGAGAGATTAATTGAAATGAAATGTATATTATCACAGCTTCTAATAAATTTATTGAGAAAGTTGTGCACTGGACGATCGTTCGATTTGCAGTTGGGACTTTCGGCTCTCTTTATGTTATCTGAACAAGAAGCGTGCAGTTGGCTTTCCACAGTTTTCGCATCGTAAGAAAATTAATCTATTTTTTGAGAAAATTAATATAATAATGCGTAAAGATGAAAATTTGTAGATTTCAGACCGATCATATTCGACATTGTACAATTTCAACTTTGGGATATGAATATTCGCGCTTGAGGCAAAATCGATCATTGATACAGACGTTTGAGAATTACAAGCTACTGCATATTTGGGCACAACGACTGTCACATTACTCGATAAATTCTAAAGGTACGCTCATATATATATATATATACTATATATAAGCAAGAATAAAAATTATTCGCAAAAATTCATTGAAGTTTGCAAACTTAAAATATTCTGAAGCACCGATACATACTTGTAACAAATCGTCTACAACTTCTTGCTTGTAGATTCGTCAAAATATTACAATTTAAGCGAATCAAACATATTTTAATACATGAATATTTTCAGAGGTTTTAACAAATAGTGCTTCGAGCAAAAGAGAAATTTTACAACAGATCATAAGCAGTAATAAAGAGAACATGATTCCCTTACTAAAGGATTACTGTTGTAGCTTTGGATTTAATTTCAATGATTGCCTTTTGCATTATTTACAAGTATTATTAAAAACATGGAATCCAACGATAACCATTTCGAATACAAGCGTAAATAAAGGTAAATATGTGATAAGTGGAAATATGTATTTGACAATTTAATATTTATATACATATTTTTATATATGTATACATTATTTTTGCATGATGTCAAATGCGAATTTAATAATTGAATGACATTTTATAGAGTTACTTATCTGTAAAGAGGAAGTCGATGAATTAAGAAAGAAATGTAATGCAGTCGTTGCGCAAATGGAAAATATATCTATGTTGAAGCAATGTATGTCTACATTATGGCAACACGTAAGTTATAAAAATATTCGATAGTATATTTTCTGATAAAAATTTTATATTTAAATTTATATATATAGATCACGTTTTACCATTATGAAGTTTTCATTATATTAATGGATCTCATAGGAGATAAAGATATAGGAAAGAGGAATTATCTCTGCTTTTTGCAAAATTACACTCGGAGTGGGTAAGTTATAATAATTTTCCATATATTAATTTTAAGTTTAATCATATATACATTAGACCTCCTACATCAATGGAACATGATGAATGGGTACAGCTTAATCCTGGACATAGTACGTTGCCGCCGATAGCACAATGGAGACTTCCGTTCTTGCTTAAAGTCGATATTTGGAAAATTATTAGTAAATATATTTTAGAAATAAATTTTTAATTAGTACTTAAGTGATTATTTAACTTAATTTTTATTAATTCTCTTACTATAGCTCCTGAGTTGAATTTAAAAACCTATGATAAATGGCTTGACATTGCACCTGTACTTAATTTAGAAGCACATCTCATATGCTCATTAGCTATTAAGGGTGAAGTCGCAAAAGAATGGGCGAATAATTCTATTGAATCGAAAAATACTACATGGTCGCTTTATTCAAGAAACTCCACATTGCTGAAAGATAGCAAGAAATGTATACAACGGCTGACAGACTCAGATGGATTATATTATGGTACTGCAGCATTGTATCATATCGTAAATTATACACCTCCAGGTGCTGATCGCGTTGCTGCCGCGAAAGAATGTTACGAGTATGCTCAGCTAGCGGCACAAAATTCTACTAAGTTCAAAGAAGGAAAGGAGTTAGAAGTACGATAATCTCTGTAATCACCGTGTCTTTATATGTTATATGAAAAAGTAAGTTGACTTCTATGTGTGTGTTATGTGGCGTTTGCTTTCAGAAAATTAAATCCAAATATTTAACATTTACGTCTGAGCATATTCTACGTACGTACGGATTGGAGAAGGATGAGTATCTTGCTCTAATCGATCATCCGGGCAAGCTAGTATACGCATTGTATAATGACAAAAGTATACCATTACGATATCGAACCACAACCAAATATAGACCCGATATTAATGCTGCCGTTAACGAGCTGGGTAAATTATTCTCGTTGAATATGATAAAATTACGTATGGATTTATTGGAAGAATGGCTACAATCCAATGCCAGATACACTGAATTGTCTCAAAGCTTTACAGAGACGTTTCTTGCGCCAAAAGAATCTGATCAGAATACAGATTGTGAAGATAATTTACTTAGGTAATATTATCAGTATACCTTTTTTTTATATCGTTATTTCTATATTCTAGATCAATAATTGATCTTAAAATATACTTGTAGGATATGTTACATGCTGGAATATGGAGATATGGATTTGTTTGCACAATTTCTTATAAACATAGGCTTTGGCGATCGTCACGGCAATACTGAATATAATTGTAACGTACGATATCGAGTATTTCAGATATTGCAGACTGTCGTAGATACTTCTACATTGGAGGAATTGACCAAGCAAGATATATGTACCTTTAGGTAAACACAAAACATTATAATAAACTATGGCGGAATATAGATTTATCCTGCAATAAAACGTTAATATTTTAATATTTCAGAAAATATATGAAATCGTTACAGTATATTGGAAAATTAGAATCATTAGGATTATGTTACAGTATTGATTCATTTGAAACGTGTTGTAAACGGGATCTTGTTCAGATCTTATGGAAAAGTCAGCATCACTTACCCTATGCTCTCTCCGTTATAGCGCAGATTTGCATCGAGTTTGAAATAAATGATATCCTACTTTGGGATAATACTTTAACTCAGATGACAAAATTGCGAATGGTTGTAACAATTATAATTCGTTAGATATACTCTTTTGCTTGGAAAATTATACTAAATATGTATTTTTAGGTAAGCGACTTAAAAAAAGTTTTATTACAATTACGAAATAAAAATGTCATTGTGAATTGTAATGGTTATAAAATGGGATGGCAATTGATTATCTCCGAACCGTTTAGCGAGATGGACATAAATCCAAATCTGGAGCAAATTGATAATTGCATAAAAGCGATTTGTCTGCTATATTCGTGTCCTGTGACACACGAATTAGACTTCACCATAATCGTGAGAAATTGTTTCCAAAGTAAACAGGCGCACTTAGCTGCCGCACTTTTACCATTTTTAAATGATATCGAAAACAAGTTTGTTTTAGAGGTAATTAAGTCAATGTTTTAAAATATAGTATGAAAGAAAGAGAGAAAATAATAACATTAATTTTTCTTTTAGACTATTAATCAAAAGTGTCAAATCGAAAAACTCATAGAAGATTTAAATCATTTGTCTTCAAAAGGAGTACTCACAATTACACATGTAAGTTGTAATACATTTTTATTTATACAAAACGTATACTAATATTTATTATTTTTATGTTTAGAGTCTCGCCATGGTGCAAAAATCTATACTGTAAGAATCAAAGAACGAAGAAAAATTTTGTCTCTTAGATTAGCTAGAAGATTAACCCATTTGTCAAATCGAATTGTAATATTATGTTTATAACATACAAGAAATAAATTTATTTTTACTTCGTATATATAAAATCGCAGCATAAAACTTGATTTACTTGATATTTCATATCGTCGTTATGTGAGTTACGTCCTGTGTTTGATCAATGAAATTCTGCGACCATCTTTGCAGACAGCTTATTGCACTTTCATAATTTATATTTCTCTTGCAAGCATGGTGAAATTAACAACAGATATCGTCGAAAGAAAATGTTCTCAAATATTAACTAGTAAATCACTCAGTAAAACAATAAAAAAAGATGAATTGTGGAAGTTAACTCATTTATATATGAATGACATGTTTATCAGCAGCATTGTAAGTTATATCAATTTAATAAATTATAAAATTTATTTTCAATGCATTTAAAATTTTACGTTTTATGTAGGGCAACATCGCTACTTACAGAAGCTTAAAAGTCCTATATCTTCAGAATAATAACATATCAAAAATAAAGAATTTACATTTTGCATGTAGTTTGACACATCTGTATCTACAACATAATACCATAACAAAAATGGAAAATTTGGAATCTCTAGAGAATCTCCAAAAGCTTTATCTAGGACACAATAATATTATTGTAGTTGAAGGATTAGAAAATACAAAGAAATTACAAGAATTGCATATCGAGAGTCAGAAAATACCACTCGGTGAAGCATTATGCTTTGAGCCACGCAGCGCTTTTATTTTATCTGTAAGAGTATCATTTGAATCTCAAAGATTTTCATTATATAGATTAATCGTTGAAATTTGTTTTTTATAAACATTTTCTCTCTTAGATGTGTCTAAAAGTTCTTAATATTTCTGATAACAAAATGACATCCTTGAGAAATCTAATAAGATTTCAAGAATTACACACGTTGAATGCAAAAAATAATTTGATCAATAATATGGACGATTTAACTGCGACAATAAGTACATTGATTTCTTTAAAAGATTTGTCTTTACAAGGTAATCCTGTTACAACATCTTACAGATATAAGGAAAATCTGATTGCAAACAGTGTTTTGCTAGGTAAAGTTACACATTCAACATTTGTTGCACTTATTCACGTTTATTACTTAATTATAATTTTATTTCATATACAGCTAATCTTGACGGAAAAATTGTAACTGACATTTGTCGAAATTTTATGAAAAAATTTAAAATGGAGAAACACAATCAACGTACAAAAAAGGCAACTAAAATCCCATTAGGAGATGATATAACAAGTATGCCAATAATGATTTTTTCCTTCAGATAGAAACACAGTTACAGACAGAAAATTTATTATAGGTTCTCTGAACTTGCCACCAGCATTCAAAAGATCTATTTCGAGAGCAATTTTTCAGCAGCCTGGACAGCCACATTTGTCTATAACAATTGCCCCTGGATCTCTCTCGGTAGAAAGCCAGCTACATGTGTTCCCACCTTGGAAGTCAGGTAAAAAAAAGAAAAAAAGATTATTATTTCCATTGTTACATTAATAAAATATTTTGTAATATGTAATATTAGCATCTGGCATCAGAAGTATCAAGGATAATCATATAACACCGAGACCATTTTGGAATAATGTAATTAAAAATAAGGAAGTCCGTTTAACGCGCTCTCATGTCAATAATAAAGCAATTGCATTACCGCTTATTTAATTCTCTTTAACAATCTCCAAACAATTATTATTGTATTTAATCATTGTTTTAAATTGAATCATTACAGGACGTAAATAAATTATAACTGTAAATAGCTAAAATTTTTATGTAGTAATAATATATAAAATGATGCATGTATGCAATAAAGACAGACTTGAGAATCACAATATTATTTTTATAGAACTGTTCAGCGATATAAGGCTACACATTTCCATTACTTTCATATATGCTATTTAAGAATATTTTTATAAATGTGTAAATAGAATTTACTGTGTGTAATGTGTACATATTAAATCATGATAGTTGCAGGTAAACATCAAATAAATTCATATAAATTCGCGATGTCACATGATATAAAAATTGCAAATGCAATAAAAATATAATTAATTGTTATAAGCTGGGTAACTATTACATATTAAATATGCAGTGTACTATTTTCAATAAACTAAACAACAAAAATGATAAAGTATAAACTTACGAACTATATTTGTACGCTGCTTGAAGATCTGTACATCAATTGTTAAGCTTATTTTATATGATAATTTATATGATTATTTATTCATGCAAAAATCGTTTTATATAATTAATAAAACAATATCTGTATTCTCGAAATCGGAGAAAAAATTTTTCTTTTACTGACTTCGAATTATATTGCTATTACATAACATATATGTGTTCTCCAAGCAGACTTAAAACATAAAAGTATATTCTTAAAAAACAGGAATAAATAACAAAAATAATACAAATATTTATATGACGTACACAATATGTTAGTCACTATAAGCATGGAATGTTAGATAAAATGTAAAATAAACATCTTTTTGCTTATATACGCGATAAAGAAAAAGATATAAATCGAAAAATGATATAGAACTTATTAAAATGTTATTCACAGAATCTTGAGACACCTGTTTCACGATATGTATATATATAAAGAAAAACAAGTAATCATTTCACTAGCAACCATTACGAATTATATAAAATTATAGCATCATCTTGAGCGTATCTAAAAATATTATCTTATATTATGAAAAAGTACGAGATGTAATGAACCAATATATATTTTGTGGCACACAGACAACTCGTCATTTATCGTATGTGTAACGCATAAAGCAGGCGATCAGTATTATAAAATTTCTTACACAAATAGGCTGTGATTATCCTTTGTTCCTTACGACAAAGTATAAAAAAATGTCACTCCATTTAAATAAAATCTTAAGAGAAATAATCGATTCTAGAGGACTATGTCTTAAATAAAAAGAAATACTATTCATATTTTATATATATGATGATAAATACTTTCTGTAATCTGTAATAACAAAATAAAGTATTAGGCAAGAATATAAACTATAAGAACGAAATATTCTCCCAAATTCTTAGAAATATTAATATTCTACATTTTATAAAAATGTAAATGTATAAAAATAAAAAACAAGAACCTTCTTTCGTTTGAAGTACATATGTATACTATATGTATACATAATAGATAAAAAATCAAAGAAATACAATCTAAAATACTGTTTATAATTAATAAAAAATACAGTAAAAAACAAAGGTATAAGCAAGCCTAGTAAAGTATGGTATATTTATATATTGAACTTTTCATTTAAAATAATTTGCATAAATTAAAATGTATACAAAGCTCAAAATTAATATGCACCGTTTTTTTCAGTGAAAATTTAGGTTACATTTTGTTTATTTAAATCGTAATGTAAATTGTAATGGAACGTAAGTCACTAAACTAATGAAAGTTTACATAAAACTGTAGTTCTATAACTACATAAGCTACAGCTAAATTTAGACATATACGCTGACCAATGCACATCATTGCTGTTGGTATAAAGTTTTATACATAAATACATACATACATACACACACACACACGCGCGCATATATATATATATATATATATGAGCCTATTTGCATTAATCATTATAGTAATTGAAATATAATGAAATCTACATAGTTCCTGTCAATATATTGTATCTCTTATAATGTTTATATAGCTGCAACATGAAAAATGATACAATACTATTACCAACATAATTTCTGCATATTTTATATAATATAATAACATTTTTTAGATATACGAAACTATGATTGATTTCAAATATTTCTGTCGATTAGCAATATACACATATATATGTATGTATATATATTTATATGTATTATATGTAACATTATATTCTGATTCTGTCACATAATGTTATGTAGTAACCAGGGCCTGGACAGGATTAGTGCAAAATTCCCGCGTCGCACGCAGAGCAATTACTGCGTGTAAATAAGATCATGCACCAGTCGAGATTGCCAATTCAGTGTCATCTGACTTTATCGAACACTCGATATACTTATGCGTAGTAGGTGCTCGATGCGCGACATGGGAACTCGCACGAACATCCTCTAATAAGTAGTGCTCTAGTAATAACTGTTTGGAAAGCAAATATCGATTTCACAGATAGTCGAACTATACATATACCTTTTTATGCCGAGAAGCTTACCTTATTGCATTTAAGCATTACAACAGACAATATATAGTAGAACTATTTTGCTTAATTTTTACTTGATCTTACTTTCTATTGATTCATCTTTGAGAAGTCTTTTTTTTTAACGGATCGATAAAATTATGTTTTATATATATATATATGTAACCCATTGCACAACGTATTTTACTTGTTTCTTTATACGAATATTATGAATCAGAATATTTTAGTTACTGTTAACAACTTGTAATATATCACACTCAAAGATGAAACAGAGAAAGTAATGAGCTTTCATTAGAGGACAAAGGATTCCGATAAATCGAGAGGAATATGCTTTTAATAGATTTGGTGGACTATAAATATTTCGACATTAGTATCTTAATTTGGAATATTCTGGTATTATATTTTACTGCAAATTTTAAATAACTGTTGAATATATTAGTTATTTCTTGTATGACTGTCATTTCTCTTTTTACTGTTATGAAATACTCAATTATCAAAACTTTTAAGTTGCAGGGCACCCCGTCTTTTATACATATATATTATATATAATTATCGCCATAACTATGTATAAATAGTTTATCCATTTGTTTACATACATACATAGCTATGTATACATTATATAATATTTATTTATTTATTTATGTTCCGTGTATATAAATACACTTCCTTAATTATTTTAATATGAACACTGTAGTTTATAGTACGAGGTACCATTCTCTCTTCAAAAAGATTTCATCAATATTTCATTCCTTTCAACTATCAAACTCAATTTTCAATCGAGTTTAAGCTCGAATTATCGGGCAAGCCGTACAGAAATTTTCTTTGACTCTCTTACAAGAAAAGGTATAAAGCTTTATTGTTCCTTGCTTTATATTTATATTAACTTCATAAAATATTTAAAGACTTATCGACATTTTTTATAGCATATTTCAGTCTGGTTCTTTTTATGATGCATTAAACAATGCATCCAATATATATAGTATGTATTGTAAATACCAATTTGTTTTTCTAGTCTCTAAGATTACGAATTGTTTGTGTTATTTATAGACCAAGAGTGCCCTTTTATGTATGTATGAAGGACAATCCTCCACTAATTACTGCGCCGTTTGTTGCTGTATTTCTATCTTTTCCACTGTCATATCTGGATTCATAGCAGTGGCCTCCTGTATCGCTTCTGCCAAAGCTCGATCATGATCAATCGGATCACCATCCGATTGTATCGTTATCTTTTGTTCTACTCGCGTCTCAACTACACCATCTTTCTCCGTTTTATACTGTAAGACATAATCAGTATTTACTGAAAAATTATATAGACATAGCCACAAACAATATTAAAATCTGATTAGAATATAATGATACCAACCGTGATAGTCTCAACAGTACGGGTTTTACTAGATATAGTTTGTGTACTAACTATCTCTCCCGTGGCACTGTAGTTACCATCTTCACTTTCAAGAGCTACTTTTCTTGTTTCGGTTGCCACTACAGGTACCGTAGTTGTCGTTGTTACATTACTATCCGGTTCTCCAGTGTAAACATGCTTCTCAGTTGCGATCACAGCTGGATCTCCCTGTATCAAAATTCAAAATTCTTTTACTATTAAGAATTCAATAATATGTGGAACATAAAAATGATAAAGAGCAAGATATAAAATTAATAGATATTAAAACTTAATAAAAAAAAATAAGAATAATCTAGAAGACAAATTAATCTCATAATTGATATATAAATATATCCATATATTGAGATATATTTATTCACATTTACATGAGAGAGAAAGAAAGAAAGAAATATTACATCTGTATTTTTAATCATTATGTCCGATGAAATGTGCTAAAGTTGTAGAACGTTTTCCGTATGCACTTTTACATTGTACAAAACAATGCAAAATACATTTAAAAAATATGTAATATGAGCAAAAATACATATCTTAATGCAAATGCACCGCATTGGGTTAGCTGGCAAGGCAAAATGCTAAAATTTATCGTGTGTATGAATACCTGTTGCCCGTTGTTCTAAATATGCGTTATCTTCCGCTCCGTATTAATAGAAGAAAATTTTGCGGCTGTTATTCGATGGATTACCTGATAATATTGATTGTAGAAAGCTTGTTGGTCATCGTCAAGATCAATTGGTGTACCCGAATCTCCACTGCTTGAGCTCGATGTACTTAGCCTTCGTGAGAACAGCTACGCCATGCAACGTGTTAACCAAGCCAGCAAAATTATTTACAAGAAATAAAAATAAAAAATAAAACAATTCCGAATGAGTATGAATAAATGATACTAATTATTATTGTTAAATTAATGATATTACAATTATATTTAATTGATTTAATCATAAATGAACAATATTTTAATGTGAGCACAATTTATGCATATATAATATGGTGTTAAGATAAAGTACGGCTTTCTAAACTGAAAACCTTCACACACACAATATATTGACGTTATATATATATGTATATTAATGTACATAATTATTTATACTTATATATGTATGAAGTGATCCCTTACATGTGCTACAATCGTATGCGAAATGATATGTATACAGCACAGTTATATGAAACAATATATATTTAAATGATAGATCAAAATCCAAATAATATCCGTGTAGCAATTTACAAAAACGCTTACATGCTTCACCTATTAATTTCAAGCGTATCTTCCCGAAAAAGAGACAAGTGGTATTACCTGTTCGCCGGAAAGCACATGACTCGTGGTTCGAACTTCTTGTGTTACTACACGTTGCTCCTGTCTCGTCGCACTAGTCGCGGTTGTATGCGCTACAGTTTTTTCCTCTACCTAATGTAAAAAATAAATTACAGCAAATAATAATTAGGCAAAATTAAAGGAATAAGAAACATATGGAACATATGAATATAAGTTTATCAGACTTCAAATATTTATCAGCACTATTTTTATCATATACAGCACAGACTTCGAATATTTTTTAACTCTACAAAAGAAACGTTAAAAAAAATTCATTACAAACCTGACTAGTCTTCTGATTCTTTTCAAGATCTTCATGCATTGTGGCGGTACGTGTAGTGACAGCTGTCGCTGTCATGTATGGAGTTCTACCATCATCTGGTGCCTCTGCCTAAATACAACTACCATGTGACTAAAATCTCAATACGTATATAACTAATGTAAATAATAATTGGAAAATGTAATAAGTGTAAATTAATAAATAAGAAAATTATTTCTACGCATTGTATCACATTTTATGATACACGAAATATCAATTGATAAACAAGAAAAAAAGGGTTTATCATTTATATAAAATTATGTAAAAATGACAAGACAACTGCGATATTTTAATTTCTTTGCTAAACATTCATTCATAAAATTTTAAAGATTTGAGTTGTGCGTCCTAAACAAATCTATCACTCAATTTCATGCCATATATTAAAATAAATAAAAAAAAAGTATTTTGTATTGGATAACAATTTAAAAAATTGTAATTTTTATATGTAATTTATAAGCATGCAGAGTCTTATGTTTGTTCAATATGATGTGTGATGTTCAATTTTCAACGTATTAAGAATGAATCGTTATGTATCTAAAGTTAATCTTTTATTCTTTCCAAGTGTATCACCTTATTGACGTGAGTAGAGACCGTAACTTGGCCTGTACCACCGGGTGTAAGATCCTCAATCTTTTCTTGAATATTTTGTGTCACACCTTCCTGATCCTTGACTACCGATTGCTTCGTTGTTGTTTTCACGATTGTCGGTATCACAGCTGGAATCGCGAGTTTCTTTAATTTCGTTGGAGTAGATTTTGGTAACTCTTGTAAGTCCTTTAGAATAGTCGTGCTGTCTATCGGTTGATCATTGTTTCCATATATTACACCATCTTTCACATACGATTCGTCCTCGTCGAAAAGTTCTTGATTGTACGGTTTTCCGAATTTGTCGTATATCTTGCCGTCTTTAATGAAACCACCATCTGTTCCGAATGGTGCTTGTGCGATTGGTTTTCCATCCTTGTCACATACCAGTCCTCTACGTACCATCGTGATTGTGATAGTCGTAAAGTGTTTATCAAGCGGTTTTCCAGTAGGCGCACAAATTATTCCATTCTTGACAACATTTCCCTCAGCATCAAAGTTCGCCTGTTTCACCGGTTTTCCAGTTTTATCTACTACAACACCCTGTATAACTTTCAAACCTTCCGGTCCAAATGCTTCCTGCGTTAGGGGCTGACCATTCGCGTCGTAAACCTTGCCATTTTTTATGAAACTGCTTTCCGGTGGTAAGGTGGTTTCGTGAGAGAGAGGCTTTCCATTGCGTCCATAAATCAAACCATCTTTAATAAAGTTACCATCTTGGCCATAAATATTTTGATTGAGATACCTTCCCGCATCGTCATAAATCCTACCGTTTTTAACCACGCTGCCCTCATTGTCAAAATTGCCATACCTTAAGGGTTTTCCATCATCACCGCAAACTAAACCGTAGCGAACGGAGGTAACAGTGATTATGGTCTGTCTTTTGTTCAATGGTTTTCCGTTTGGTCCATACAATAAACCGTTTTGTATGTAACTGCCATCATTGCTGAACGTGCCGTGATTGAGCAGTTTTTTATCCTTTCCATAAATAATCCCGTTTTCGATAAAGTTGCCTTCGGTACCGAATGCGGTGTGATTTAAGGGTTTTCCATCCTTTCCATATAACTTACCCTCTTCAATATAGCTACCACCAGGTAATTCAGATCCCGCATTCAATAATTGGCCTCCCCAGCCGTATATAAGACCATCTCGAATGTAACATCCATCTGGCTTAAAAGCACCTTGTTTCAATAACTGTCCATTCTTGTCATAAACCACTCCATCTTGTATGTAACATCCATCGGGTACTAATGAGGATAGATTTTTCGAATTTCCGTGATTATCCACGATTTTTCCGTTGTTGACCGCCATATTATCTGGACCTTTATCGTCTTGAGTCAATGGCTTGCCGTCTCTTCCTATGATAATACCATTCCGAATCGTATTACCATCGGGACCAAATACACCTTGCAACACGATTCTGCCATCTTTACCGTAGACCAATCCACCTGCGACGTACGAACCATCGGATCCAAATGAATCTCTACTCAAGGGCTTTCCCGAATGGTCGAATATTACACCATTGACAATAAAGCTATCCTCCGGTAAACTTGCATTCAAGTTCAACAGTTTACTGTCACTACCGTAAATAAGACCATCTTTGATATAACTACCGTCCGGTTTAAAGAATGAGAACTTTAGTAATTTACCCTCTTTGTTATATATCTTGCCGTCTTTAATAGCTGCACCTTCAGGTACCAGCGAATCTTGATTAAGGGGTTTTCCATTTTTCGCGTAAATGATACCTTTCTTTATGTAGCTTCCATTCGAACCGAATGATTCGTGCTTTACCGGTTTACCATCTTTTGCTAGAATCGTGCCATCTTTCACTACAAATCCATCAGGACCAAGAGTAGCATTTGACAATACTGTACCGTCCGCGTTGCGTAATGTACCTTCTTTGATTACAAGATCGTCGGGCTTAAAGAGACCTTGAAACAATGGCTTATTGATTCTGTTGTGCACTAAACCATCTTTGATGAAATGACCGTTAGCTATTAATGGAATTTGACTCACGAGTCTGCCGTCGTTTCCATGTATCGCACCGTCTTTCACAAAACTACCGTTAGATTTGTAAAATGCGTGTTTAATAGGTTTGCCATCCTTACCGACAACTTTGCCATCCTTTAAGTGAGCACCGGTCGGTAGCAAGGATCCTTGAGTCAAAAATTTTCCATCTTTCGAATAAATTACGCCGTCTTTCACGACAGAGCCATCGGAACTGAAAGAGTCGTGTTTGATCAGTTTACCGTCTTTCGAGTGAATCTTGCCCTCTGCGATGTAATGGTCTTCGGGACCTAACTTGCCTGTATTAAGCAGTTTTCCATCTCGTCCATGTATTAAGCCATCATAAACGAACGTATCGTCAGGTATAACCGCGATCTGATTCAAAGGCTTGCCTTCTTCGTTACATACTATACCAGCAACTATGTATTTTCCATCTGTGTCATACATTCCCTGAGTCATAGGTTTAGATCCCGGCGTAAATATGAGACCCTCTTTCACGTATGTTCCATCTGCACCTAATTGACAATGTTGAATCGGTTTGCCGTTCTTTAGTAATACTTTACCCTCTTTAACCACCGCATAACCCGGCCCGAGGAAAGACTGTTTCACCACTTCACCGTTTGGAGAGTAAATAATTCCATTCTTTATCGAATTTCTATCTGTACCTAATATTTCTTGATGGAAAGGTTTGTTATCTTTTCCGGTAATTACACCACCGCTGATATGAACTCCATGCGGTCCGAAATCTGCCTTTTTCAGCGGTTTACCGTCTTTTCCGCAAACTTTGCCATCTATTATTTTGCTACCATCTGGTCCGAGATGACTTTGATCTAGTGGTTTACCTTCTTTGGTATAAATAACACCTCCAATGATTCTCGAGCCATCGGGAAGAGGCAGAATATGATAATCTGGTTTGGATTCCACTGGTGCCGGTGGGATTATTACAGGCTGACCGATAGTATCTTCATGTTGACGTTCACCAGTGATGAAAGTCGTTGTTAGGTCCTCAATATCTCCTTTCACAGCATTCTTTTGTTGTTCTTTAAGACCAGCAGATTCCACATAATTGAGCCCTGGTGTCTTTAAACCTGGTGCTTGTTTGTCCACTTCTTTCGTTTTTCTTTTTTCCACAGATTCTGCTACTTTCTTTTCTTCTCCCGGCGCATAGTTAAATGCTAATCCTGTAGCTTTCCGACTAGCTGAAGTAGGCGATGGTTGATCCTGTACACCTGGCGACGCGGGTCGATCTTCGTACGTAAAACCAAGTGGAGTAAATGGCTTTTTTGTAGGTGAAACTTCTGTTTCTTCGTAATCATAAGGTTTCGTATAACCAGGAAGCTGAGATTTTGCAGGATCTTGGATTTTATCTATTCTCTTATCAACTTCCTTTCCTTGTTTTTCCGATGTAGAAAGATTTGATTCGGCATCACTTTTGTCCATGGATTCATCAAGTTCTTTGTTCTTTTTCTGTTTCTTATCCTTGTCCTTTTTGGTAAACAGGAAACCGCCAACAGGACTCTTGGATAATACACAAAATACATGCAATACAAAATACATGCTATACATAATATAAGTAATATGTATATATATATATATATATAGCATTCGAGGTATATATATATATATATATGTATGTACGTATATCTCTAATAAACTTTTGTCACATTTAAATGAAACTAATAATATCTACATATTAATGCAACTCTATTATTTCTGCAAAAATACAAACTAATGTTCGTGCAAACTTGAGCTATGTGGATGTATTCAATTAAAAAATAATTACACATTTAGTAGAACATTCTTTCACATAATTATTGAAATCTGACGGAATACTTACTGAATTACAATATTTAAAAATAATAGTAATAATATATATAAAAATATATGTATATAATAAATATATTCTAATCGTAAAAGTCACATGTAAAAAAATACTTAAAAATTATTTTTTTGAAATTATACACATCTATTTTTCATAAAAAGCAGCAACGCGCGCGCATACAACACAATATGAAGCTTACCTTGATTTTTTCCTTCTTTTCTTTATCCACTTTTTCAGGGGTTTCTTTATCCTTCTTTTTTGACTCTTTTTTAGATGATTTATCATCAATATTGTCAAGATGAGCATTGTCATTAATCAGATCAGTATTATTCAGATCATTGTGATTTTCCTTTTCGTTTTCATTCTGTTTATCCTTCTTCTTCTTTGATAGACCACCGGGCGGTAGGACAGCGATTCCTCCGACCGGTTTCTACAAGTAAATTTACCCAATCACACGTCGCTTCATGCAATAAGCATAAAGCTGCTACATTGCTAAAATAATACTAAAAAATAATACTAAAAATTACGTTTCAGAATAACTACTAACGATACAATGCATGCTTTATGGATTACGGTCTGCGCTCTCAAAATATGTATGTTATATAGTTATCATAATTTGTATTAAAAATTTATTTCGTTACATTACACTAAATGTTTGCTTAATCTAATAATTTTTTACGCTATACATTCAAATAGTATATTCTTATTAAATAACAGTCAGTCGCTGAATTAAACTAATTTTACGTTTATCTCTAAGTTTATACCTAAAGTTTACTGAAATTCTCGACTTACAATAATCAACAACAAAATGATCCTCTAAGGATCTTATCTACATGCTAATATTGCTAAATGCTTAAATGAGTAACTAACATCCCACATTGAGGCGATGGCCGTATACACATATATATATATAGATATAAGTTTTGCAAGAAATATAATATAAATAAAAAAAAACGTAGCAACATGCATTGGAAGAAACAAAATACCAAATGGTCACATATAAAAGACAACATTGATAAATATATAGAATTAATTAAACAATAATGTTCTAGGTAAAATTCTATACCTTTCTCCCACGATCTGCATCATATTCTCCTTCCAGGCTACTGGTACTGCTAGCTGATGTTGTTCCGGCACTTGTTTTTCGTGTGAGCTATCGGTGTTAGTTATGTGTCAGTTAATAATAGCGATATCGAATAGCTCCAAAGGAAAAAAAAATGTTAACTTATAGACTTCCTGGCACATCTTTATGTAATTTCACTAACGTATCAAGTCTAATTTTATTCTTTTATGTCAAAGAATATGTGATTCACAACTCTATAATATGTGTTATATAATTATAAATTGCCATGCTTTTATTGCAACATTATATATTGGATCCGAATCGGTGTACAGTGTGCGTTAAAATTTATTGCAATATGCGTAGGTGAGTCAATAAATATACTGTATGTACAAAACACTACAAATATATCAATGCGAAATTAATATATGTATAAACATGTGAAAAAAATATATTTAATCTACTGACTCACCCACGCATTGATGGAGAACGTGAGCCAATTGGTGTTCCGCGACTTCTCTGGTAGAAATTTTTGCAAGAATATTATATGCATATATATATATTGATTTTTAAAATTTTATCATAAATGATTGTTATATCGCGTAAATCATAAATTATTTATTATAAATTACATTTTTTTGTGATTAAAAGATTAGTTTGAAAGCGTAGACCGCAGACGAGTTAAAAAATTACGACATATACATCGTTCATAAATTTTGCTGTCACTAAAAAATCGGATTCACGTTCGCATGACGAGAATTCATGCATACTCTACACTCTAGGTTATTTTAAATACAAAAGAAATGCTGTCTAACGAACGCATAAATGCAATACCTTCTCTTTTTGTTTCTTGATTGGACTAGGCCGTCTGTCTATATGTTCTATATCATCAGGAAGCATTTCAGGCTCATAGCTCATAGTATGTCGTTTGCTTGGTTCGGAGCCATACGTTTCAACTGGTTTAGGCCCACCTAACGCTGTATAAGGCAGTCACACTACTTCAACATCTTAGTATAACAGATTTAAAGATATGATTATAAAAAGGCACTTGTGGTTCATATAATGGTTAGTCTGAAAATATTTTGCACAGAGTAAAACAACGCTCATAATAAATCAATATATTAATTTAGAAAACAAACCATTCCAATAATAAAAAGTCATGCTTGTGCATGCTTGGTCCTAACAAAAATTTTTTAAATCAGACATACTCCTGAATAAATGTATGATGTTCTCTATAGTAATAATTGTGGCAATTTAAATATCTACTAAGCCATCGTATTATTATTATGTCATACATTCATATTTTAAAATATCATCCACAAGTGATAAAAATTGTATTTACCATCCATGCTTCTAGACGTGAGTCGTCGACCACTCAAAGATCTCTCAAATTGTGGAGGTTGTCTATCAATAGGAGTCTTTTTCGTTTCATAGTGAGTTCTTCCAGAATATCGGAAACGAGACCCTAAATGTGGAATTAATCCCACTTTCTTTACAGGCTCCGGACTCATAAGTCTGTAAAAAAAAAAGAATTTCTCATTTGATTGAGCAGTGTCGTAAACAAAAAAAAAGCTAATTGTCTAATTATTATTTACCTGAAGAAAGTATGATGCTCCACACACACTTTCCATAACTTTTTCGCTGCTCTGTGATTAGCCAATTTAAAACCGATTGTAGATTCAAACTGTTCGAAGTCGCCCGGTCTGATTTTAATGTAGAAATTATGCCTTTTGTAAGATATTTTTAATATCTTTGGCCAAGCAAACCTATTAATCCTTAAACGATCCCTATAAACAAGAAGACCCGAAGCGCATACACCTAACATTATATCAACACCTTCTGAGTCTTTCGCGGGATGAAGATCTACGCCATACATAGCTAATTTCTTTGCATTTTCGAGATAATGTAATTCTGCTTCGGCGGGTGTTTGACCTCTAAAAAAAAATTACAAAAAAATTGATTTTGTTACATAATCGAACAACGAATACACATTTTTCTTTTCTTCATCATAATAGTCGAAAGAATAAAATGCATTAGTTTGCATGCATAAATAAAACTAACTTGTGTGTTTTATGCAGATCCATCACTTTTTCAATTAATTCGGGCGTTTGGTCAGGAGCAAATTTAAAATCTTTCAAGTACGTCCTTCCATGTATCTCAGAATCGTAATCTCCGACTTCTGATTGGACCAGATAAGAGCCCAGAAGAGCGTGTGTCACATAGGAACAAAGCAAACGCCCTGTAATGATATCGTTTCTGATCTGTAGGCATAATTGATAACGCGTAATATCTTCGTGCAATTGAGCTGGATCCGGTGGGTAGAATTTAACTTCGAAATTAAATTTCCATGGCTCACCTAAAAACATACGTTAATGTTAGAAGAAACTTCTCGACATATACCATTATATTTGTTATAATTTCATAATGGTTTCCACGTACTTTTAACAAATTTCGTGATCCTCTTGTGAAGATCCAACCAATTACGCGGATCGTGTCTGTCTTCGTAGATAAGACCAAAATAATCTTTCTCCAACAGATTCATGCTTTGACAAATCATGTCGAGAAGTTCTTGGCCCCTCGCCTTCCTCTGCAATCCGATATTTAACATCTTTCAACGTCAAGTAAATAAAATATAATTTAACTTGTATGTACACGCATAGAGTAAATCCTTCTACGACTTACATCGATGTAGAAATCCTTTACAGTACCGTCAAGGAGGGTAATTTTGGCAAGAGCCATCTTTCCCCTGCTAACTGGGCTTTTTGTGGGCGAGTTCGTCCCAGTCCCATTCTCCGCCGTTGCTTCCGTTGGAGCATCAGTGCTTTTCTGTTCTTCCGGCATGTTTTCGTTCTATTCGTATACCTATAAAACCAAGTGTATCGGTCTATTTAATATTCAAACTAAAGAATTTTTATATGTATATCTCGTAATTTAGATTTGTCGATGAGAGAACCATCTTGAGTCACAGACTCTCTTCGGCTCTCTTTTCACAATGCGAAAGAACAATCGTTGCCCCGGAAAATTCCAAGATATCGAAATTTACAAAATTATCGAAAGAGAACGCCGTCTGCACGACTTATCTCGAGACTATTCTACGATTGCGATCTCGATTGCGATGTTGTCGGTAGAGTGGAGGAGGTCGCGTGTCGCGATGTGGTATATCTCATTATAGATCCCGTCTAGACGACCTGAGGGCATCACGCGGTGAAATAATCAATATTTCCCGAGGGTTCGCAAGTCCAAGTGTCTCGCGGTGCACCCGCCAGTCGCAATTTCGTTATTAATGAAGAACAAAGATACACAGTCGTTGCTCCAAGGTTCGTCGAACCTCGAGTGTGTAGGGTAGGCATCCTTGAACTTGGCAAGAACGAATAGAGTGACAAGGGTATGTACATATCGATTGCATATAGGCGTATCATTCGTCTCTAGATAAAAGCATAGTATAATTCTATACATAACCCGCATTTGCTTTAAATATTACATAAAAGATAAAAATAAAAATAACAAGAATAAAGTTATTCATTCAACTAAAGACTTTATGGTTATAACATTACTATACATAACGATAAAAATCTTTATCCGTATAATGTGAACGTTTGTCTCATATATTCCTCTGATAAGTTAATATTTATAACAGTTCTTAAATATAATACATTATCAATATCGCACCGAAAAGGTAATACATTGTAGGTATTAAGGAGGTTGTAAGGCAAATGCAATATGTTAAGAACTACTTGAAAAAATTACAGATTATTCTAAATTTCATTTAATAATAATACAAAAAAACAGAAACAATTGACCATCTGGATCAAAAGTTATTTAAATAAGTAGTAATATTTTTTAATTTGTACTCTAATATAAATATATGAAAATGTATTATAAAATAATGATAAAAAT